CATAACACAAAATCTACCATCTTAACCACTTTAAGTGTCTAGTTCTAATGATTCACACTGTACAACAGTTTGGTACCTTCACATCACTGTGCAACCATCACCCCATCTGTCTCCAGGCCTCTTTGTGACACTTTTGTGATTATCTATGAGCAGGAGACAGAAAATTGCCAGTTTGTTTCTAATAATGAAAATCCAATTTTAATTCAGAGAACAGTGTGCTTAAAAGACTGTAGCTTGCTGTAGGTTAACTATACTTCAATGACACTGATTAAATACGAAGGAAGGAGAGCACCATGAGAGCATAAAGCTGCTAACAACTGGGACCCACACTACATAGGGGCAGGTGAGGAAAGGGAGATTGGGACTTCATCAGAAGTCATGGGGACCTCTGGTGGGTTTGAAGAGAGCAGTGCATTTACTCACTCAGTTACTGCCGACATTTTTGAGTGCCTCTGTTTCAGGCACTGTACCAGCCACTTTAACTGGTCAGAGTTAAATCTTATCTTGGTTACACTAGAGATGCTTGGGTGCAAACAGAAGTTTTTGCAATTCTCCAGGTAAAAAGTACTAACTTAAGGTAGCAGCAGAGGGGATGAAGGCAAAGGCGGTGTGTGTTTTTAGTTTTACCTGTTATCAGGGCCACCATAAAACCACAGATACCATCATTTTGCTCCTACTTTTGAAATCACTTGAAGGATTGATTTTTTTTTGGTAATATCGCTATCAAAAATTTTTAAATTGTTTTTATTTTTTAAATACTTGACAGTAGAATGCATCACAATTCTTATTACACATATAGAACACAAGCTCTCGTACCTCTGTTTGTATATAAAGTATATTCACACCAATTCATGTCTTCATACATGTACTTTGGATAATGATGTCCATCACATTCCATCATCATTGCTAACCCCCTGCCACTTCCCTTCCCCTCCTACCCCTCCACCCTATCTAGAGTTCATCTATTCCTCCCATGCTCCCTCTTTCCCTATCCCACTATGAGTCAGTCACCTTATATCAGAGAAAACCTTCACCATTTTTTTTTGGATTGGCTAACTTCACTTAGCATTGTCTTCTCCAACTGCATCCATTCATCTGCAAATGCCATGATTTTATTCTCTTTTATTGCTGAATAATATTCCATTGTGTATATATCTCACATTTTTTAATTCATTCATCTACTGAAGGGCATCTAGGTTGGTTCCACAGTTAGCTATTGTGAATTGTGCTGCTATAAACATTGATGTGGCTGTGTCCCTATAGTATGCTGTTTTTAAGTCCTTAGGGTATAGACCGAGGAGAGGGATAGCTGGGTCAAATGGTGGTTCCATTCCCAGTTTTCCAAGGATTCTCCAAACTGCTTTCCATATTGCCTGCACCAATTTGCAGTCCTTGCATTGATTTTTTTATATTTAATTTTAAGTTATAATTGGACATAATACCTTTATATTATTTATTTATTTTTATATGGTGCTGAGCATTGAACCCAGGGCCTTGCACGTGCTAGGTGAGTGCCCTACTGCTGAGCCACAACCCCAGCCCATCCACTGGTTATTTTGACTCGAATAAATTTTATGTGACACATTCAGGAAGTACTAAATAAAATCTGTCAGCAACAAAGAATCTGTTGTACAGATACAAATACATAAACTGAACACGTGTTACCGTCAAGGTACTGTGGTTAAAAAAAAATGGTCTAATTAGATCAGCATCAGTTTGGTAGAAGATATCTGGCTTGAGAAGAGGAAAAGCTGTTATTCTACAGGCTTCTTCTGAGCGAAAACTGGAGATGGCATAAATGTTTATCAGTGCAGAAAGTGGCCAAAGAGATTGCAGGAAATAAAACAATAAAATGTCATGCACTGGGTCCACGTTTAGTACCAAGGAATGGTCTCCAAAATACACTCAAGTGAAACAGGAATTATGGAATGTATTGTACAGCATAATGACATTTATCTAAAAACATCTATGTGTTTCTGTATGTACATTTTGTATTTACAAATATTTTCTCAGTAACTGCAGAGAAGAAGATCATGACATATAAGAGGTAGGAAGAGAAGAGAAAGGAGAAGGAACTTCTGGGTTGTATTCCATACAGCAATGAGAATACATCCATGTGTTTCTCGTATAGAAAAACCACTTTTATAGGTTAGTATACCAAGTGAGGAGATTGTATTATATCACAAGCTTACAGCTCTTCCTTCTAGTCTTTATTGGTAATTCAAATCATATAACAGTCCTCATAATAACAGTTGAGAACAGTGTGCTTGTGCGTGTACGTGTTTTAATTTGTCAAATTGCTTTTAGACTGTAGTTTTAAATGACTGGAAGTTACGTATATCAGAGGATATTTAAGATGAGAACATATTGGCTATTGCCAAGGGTCTCTCCTTGGATCACAAGAAAACCCTTTAAGAGAGCTAAAGAACATATTTAATTTATTCTCACTTAAGTCATTAACTATATATTTACTTTTAGTATTTTTTTTTTTTGCAAATGAGCAAAGCAATTCACAGCAATCTTTGATCTTGCAATTTGAAACACACTGAAATAGCATGCAAGTAATACCTTCCTATTTTCAAAATTATATTTGAATTGCATGCTGAGGCCAGGGAAATAATTTGGCCACAGTAAAAACGTCCTGGGTCTAGGCTCTAACCATATGGGCTCAGACAAGGGTTTTTTTTTCTTGGTTGCCAAATTAATATTTCCTAGATATACTAACTAGCAAATCAGACAAGCAGTGGTGGAGACTTTATATATTTTTAAACTGTATGAAAACATCTGCAAAGGCCATTCACAGAAGTCTGTTTGACAATGGCTGCTTGGCTACGATCGAAAATTAATTCGCAGCACTCACATGGCACTTTCAGGGCCTCCTTCCAAATGGAGCTTTTAAAACAGACTAAAATTGAATTCTTCTCAGTCTCAGCCCACTTGAAGTTAAAAAAGAAAAAGAAAAGAAAAAAGCAAGATAGTAGGTGTAAATGACTAAGAAGGGCCCTCCAGGGGTGCTCTGGAAAGCCAAAAGATTGGGAGCTGCATGCAGAATGTCTCCATAACAAGTCTAGACTATCTGTAATCTGCTGGTGGTGAAGAAAACCAGATTATCAAGAAACCTTGTGGAGCCAACAGTTACAGGAGCACAAAATGCTGGGAAACCCAGGACAGTATGTAGAAAAGGATCCCAGTATTCCTTTACACTATTATCTATGACCCAAGTGACATTTAAGAGTGACTCCTATCATGAATGCAAAAAACGTGGCAGGAGGAGGGCGACAAACGTCTTTAAGTACCAAAAGGAAATTGTAAAAATGAAAGCAGGAAGAAGATAAAGACTACAAAATCCATTACACTAACGTTTCATGTTCTCACCCGGAGCAGATGGAGTTGAATGTTACAGCACAGGACGAGCAGATGAATTGTGGATGATTTTTGAAATTATTGATTTTTAATCTCATATATTGAATAAAATGGGAATTGCATTTCCCAAGTCTCTCAAGTTCCTGCTTATATTATATTCTCTTCCTGGAGAAATAATCCTTATCTGATTAATATAAGCAGACAAAACATCTCACACAAAAGATTCAAATGAAGAATGGGTCCGGTTTCAGGACTTTAACCAGATCTATTTTGATTGCCCGTAACATTCTTTATGACTCAGGGCTGCTCCCCAACTTCAAGGAGATTTTGTGTGAGCTAGACAGCTATTCTTTCTGCAGATGTAACTTCACTGTGGGGATACAAGTGAGCAAAGAGGTTGCCCTTTGTGTATATTTTTAAATGCATGATTGTTTCTAGGTGGGCTTCAGGCAGCATGAGGGATGGAGAAGCACAGGCTACATTTCTGCCCAATTTACACCTTTGGCTGGGTGGTCTTATTCAGTGAACAACATGTACAATTCAGGAAAGTTACTCTTCAGTAGTTTTGTTTGCCTATACATTTCACTTGAATGATTCATTGCGAAAGATTAAACAAGCAAGCTGTTGAGGAAGCCGTCCCCATAATATCAGAAAGTCATTTTTAAAATTACCTGAACTTATTGTTTTAAGAGACTGCATCAGAAAAAGTGTATCTCTGCTGTGGTTATTATTTTAGCTAAGAGTTGAAAAAAAATCAGATCATGATATAATGAGATATTAAAAACCATGAACAATTAACACTGCTTTCCTATTCCTTTTATAGAGCAACTGTGCATGCCCTCTTTTCTATTAGTCACGATGGCTTCAAAATCCACATCTTTTTAGCAGAGCTATTCTTAAAGAGGAAGAATGAGGTGACCAGTACCACCAACAGTAAAAAAGAAAGTGCATTTTTCACTTTTTCTGGGGCCTGGTCCTCTAGCAAGCACGTTCATTTTACTTGTAACCAAATAAGTACCCTAGAAAATTGCTGCACAACAGACTATGAACTCATGTGATATTTGAAATTATCTTGTTGGTTTCCTCCCCTCTGTTCCCCTTACTCCCATACCCTCCTCACATAAGCACTAGCATCCAAATATCCCAGGAGCAGTGAATGGGGGCTCTGGAACCACACCAATCCAGGAGAGGAATACAGCAGGAAAACAAAAACAAAAACCTAGGAATGACTCATTGCCCACCAAGAGAAGTGAGAACTTCTGGTGCTGGAACACTGCCCACTGCAGCTCAGACCAGTCCAGAAGAGGATGGTGTGAGTGACAGCAACATCCTACTCCAGCCACGGACACTGAGGCACAGGCAGGGAAGGAGACACAGAGGAATCAGGAGGGGGAGTAGGGTGGGGGAGGAAGACATGGCTGGGCAGGGAAGGAAGGCTCAAGACCCCTGGCTTTGTTTCTTCAACATGAGAACCTTGACCTGGATGGTCTGGCCATCTTCAGGGAGGCTATTTGCCATATGAGTTTTAATAAGTCCCAACAGCATCTTTCCTTTGACTTCACATTAACAAAACCCTTTTTTGAAAGGACTTTCAACAGTTTCCTCTTCAAGGGAAAAAAAAAATCCCCTTTTCTTACCTCAATGATGTAGAGGACTACATTCTTGTAGAAGCAGTATAATATGCACTTGGTCACCCGGATGTAGCTCCAGGCTCCATGTACAAGCAGGAGCTTCTCCAAGTAAGAAAACTGAAAAAGGAAAACATCGAAGTTCAGAAGAGCCTGTGACACAGGAATAAATGTCACAAAATGTGCTTATAAGCAGAAAACAGATAAAATAGGTACAGGAAGCTAGATTTTGCAGAAAACCTGAGAAGACCATTCCCTCAAGGTGGAGCTTTCCATGAGAACAATAAAATCTCAAATCTATCTCATTAGTACCTTCCCCAAATGTACTTCTGGACTTCTTACTGTGATTTTCACAGAATCTGTTTAGTTATTTACTTATTTTGGTATTAGAGATTGAACCCAGGGGTACTCTTCCACTGAGCTACATTTCCAGCCCTTTTAATTTTCTATTTTGAAACAGGGTCTTGCTAAGTTGTTGAGGCTGGCCTTGAACTTGCAGTCCTCCTGCTTCAGCCTCCCAAATAGCTGGGATTACAGATGTGTGCCACCATGACCAGCAACAGAACTCTATTCAATCTAAGACTTTTTAAGGGTCTTAATTATTACCAGAAGGTGACCACTGGAACTGGAAGAAAAGTACAATGAATCAGATTCCTCTACATAATCCTGTCATAGATTTTATAGTGAGCAAAGGGACAGGGACAACTTATGCAATAATGTATTGCTTAAAAAAGGAACATACCCTTGAACACACAAATTGTTCCCACTGTCAGCTGCAAGTTACAAACAATTACATATAGAAACACACACATACACACACAGAGCTATACATACCAGTACACAAAGGTACACAAACACACATATAGACACACGGTCAGAGACACATTAACGCCAACACACAGATACACAGAAATTCATATACAGACACAATGCCTCTACTTCTATACCCATTTTGTCCATCTTTTTACTCTAACTTGCCCAGAGCACCCCTTATCAGAGTGCTATATAGTCAAAGCAGTTGAGTGATTCTAGCTGAGAGTGATGTAAAAGCTCCTGCAGGTTGAGATGGGAAGCAACAATATCCCAATGAAATCCATGCATCTTCTTTGAGGCAAGGGTCTGTCAGTCTCCCATTAGCCTGGCTTTGCCTTCTGGGTCCAGGAGTATGACCTAAAAAGTGTGAACCTTGAACTGGAGAGAGGGTAATGAGGGTGGTTTTTTTTTTTGTTATTGTTTGTTTTATTTTTGTTTTGTTTGTTTTCATTTGTTTCTTTGTAGATTACATCATGCTCTGGCAAGAACAAACTATTAGGGGAAAACTTGTTTAAGGTCACAGTGTTCTTACATTCAGTTGTGCCCCATCCTGGTTGGTATTATGCTTTGGATGTGGTCTGTCTCTCACAGGGTCATGACACCAGTGTGGCACTCTGAGAGGTAGTGGGAGCCTTATGAGGAAAAGTCAAGAGGGAGGTGATTAGGACACTAGGGGCCTTGCATTCAGAAAGGATTCCCCCAGTTAATTCCTATAAGAGGAATTGCTATAGAAAAGAAGGCCTCGCTCCATCTCTGCTTTCCTGCCTCATTATGGTGATCTCTCTTTCTCACGTGAGTTCCCATTATTATGTCAGCCGCCATGCTGTGATGTAGCTAGAGGGCCACACCAGAGCCAGAAGATGTTGGCACCATGCTCCTGGACCTCCAAACTATGAAAGGGATGAACCTCTTTTCTTTATTAAGTATTTTGTTACAGGAACAGACTAATTCAATCGCCTTAAATGAAAATCTGAATTCATTCATTCTATGTCATAGTGTCTGAGGCCCTGTTCCTGACCCCGGGCAATGCAAAGACTTTAACCCTACAACCCGACTAGGAGAAACAATTGGGCTGTGCTGAGAATACCCTAAAACATTAGAAATTCTATTATTATTATAAACTTCCTATCAATTTCAGATAACTTTTGAAATTAAATTTAACTATCTGTAGAAAAGAAAGACTCTTACTTAAAATATTTTAAAAAACATGTCTTCAAGAGGAAACTACATAATAATTCCCTTTAGCACTAAAGAAGGACACTAGATTGTAGGCAAAGTCACATTTCAATGAGTTCTTCCTGGCCACTCATCAAAATCTAAAGGACGACTTCAAAATGGCAGAAGTAGGTGCATATGGAAAAATAAAACTCCTCATAAAGGCTCATTAAGGATTCCAAAGGGGAATGGGGAATCATAAAATAACTAGCTAAACAAATAAAAAGGAAGTTTGCATTTGACCTGGACCTCCCGGTGTTAAATTTCAATGGGCACAGAGAACATCTGCTTGAGTCATCTCGAAGGCCTCAACCTCAGCGTTACAATGATTTGTTTTCAGGGGGGAAAAAAAAGGAAAAAAAATTACATCCTAAATCAAAATGCTGTCTTCATGAAGTCATTCAAAAGACATTAAGAAGGTAGGGGGCAGGAATGATTCTCTCCAGAGGAGAATGGGAAGCTGAGGACTCCAGGTGAAGTTTTATACCTACAGTCTAGGCTACCCAGAGCCAGGCAGACAGAAGACAGTTGTCTGTCTGGAGCTGCCCCTGTGCATGAGGCAGATGGAAAAGAAATGGAACCAGAGCTCGGTCTGCTTCACAACTTTCCCAAGGGTAAGTCGTTAAGCTAAATATATTTTTTCTTCTCTACATCACCTTACAGGGTACTTCATTATAAACACAATCAAAAAAGTGTTCACTCAAATTAAAGTGAACAGATAAAGCAATGTGAACGTCAGTCAGCGATGCTTATCCATTCAGTAGGGACAAAGGAATTCACCCACTCATGGTATTTCTGGTGTAGTAATTAAGGTACAAAGAACATCATGTTGGGTGGAGATGAGGCAAAGTTAAGCATGAAATTGGCCCTGAAATAACAGCATCCCTGCCTAATCATGAACAGGACCAGGGACAGGAGAAACAAAGGCCCAGAGACTCATGTGGCCTCCATCAGTTCCTTTGGCAGAGGTGCCTATTACCCTGAGAGGGCAAGAAAACCCCCAAGTGGAGTTATAAAGCCCTGCCCCCTGCTCTACCCTTCTTTGACACTTTTAATCTGATAAAAGCAATTGTTCCAGATTCCACATCCTATTAGTATGCAGTTTCAATATAGCAGGTCATGGAATCTCCCTTCCCTGGACATTTTAAAGAAAAAGACAGAAAAATATTTTCCTGGAGCTCCTAGGAAACCTCTTATGATCTCTTCCAGCCATATGATCTTATAACTCAAGTATTTAATAATGCTGGGGTATATAACATCCACAGTTGCTGACAGCATACAGGAAGCTTGAGTCCCCCAGGCCTCTGAGCAGTTGACTGAGAAAGTAAACGGGCAGGTGTGCAGGGCGACTCCCGACTTCACACGGGGTCTGCACTTCTCTGACCTTGGATAGGCCCTCAGACCTGAAACAGGTCACCTGATGCAAAGGAACCTCAATTTTCCCACCTGTAAAACCAGAATTTCTCCTCCTAACCACTCCAGGAATCATCCTGAGGATTTATTTGATATCAACAAAGGAACAAGATTGATTTCATGCTCTTTTCAGAGCCACGTGGATTTTGTAATTCCTCCCTGCATCTGCAGAACCTGGAACTGGGAGGGAATCTGAGCAGTGATCTAAGGCAGCCCTCCTTTGGGGAAGGGGAGCCCCAAAGCTGAAGAGGACCAGCCCACAAGTCCTGGAGCTGCAGGAAGTTTGTTCATGTTTTATAGGCAACCCCCTGATTTCAGCTTGAAGCCACTCTTCCTCAGGTTCATGTGATTAAGGTTAACACATACTTCAAAAGTCTAACCACAAAAACAGGGAGAGCTCTTGCTAACCAGTGTACGAGCCTATAGTCACAACATATTGTGATCTGGAGACAGGAGGAAATGCTCTGTGTTCCTGGGATGATGACATTTTCTGGATGATTTAGTAGGCCAGATGATCTAGACATGTCCCCTAGGGGTCAGGAGGTTGGTTCTTTTCCTTCACTTTTTAACGTCATTAAGGAATAGACATTTCTTTCATCCTTGAGCCACCTATACAGTAACCACAAAACACCTCAGAAATTCTGCATGCAATTCTCAATTCAGAGAGGAATGGAATGAACTTGGCCTGACTGCAGGTGGTCACATGCAGGTGAGCATGGGTCACGATGGCCCAACCCGGACTCACGCTCTCAGCAATTAATCTCACAGAAGTGGTACTGGGCAGCAACCCTGTCATGACTGCAGAGAGGGGAGAGGCTGTAAATCATTGCTTTTCCCTGGCTTAGATACTGAGTAGTGCATGCCAGCACCTTCTGAAAGGAGAGGTGCCACTGAAAATGGATGTTATGAGCACAGTTATTCTCCAGCAGGGGGACATATACAAGGAAACCCACGCAGGAGAAAAAAAGTGGAGCATGAGAGGCGATCACTCACAGATCAGGGGCTCATCTGTCAGGAATGACATGTCACCTGGATGGCAAGGAATGACAGGTCACCTGGATGGCCAGCCCTACTCTGACAAAGGAAATGGGGCCTCCAAACTGCACAGGATCAAAGTGATGGAGGAATCTGAATAACAGGACAACTGGTCACCCATGTGGCTAACCTGTGCAATAGCGTAATCCGAGTTGTTGGTGGCCTGCATGCCCTCATTGCCACTGATCCCCACACCCACGTGGGCTGTCTGGATCATCCCGACATCATTGGCACCATCCCCGATGGCCAGGGTGATGGCATTCACCCGCTTCTTCACCACTTCCACTATTTCAGACTTCTGCAGAGGAGACACTCTGTGAGAGAAGAAAGAGAAATTATGACAACATGCGTCTTTCTAGAGGAAACAGCTGTAATCTACATTCAGCAGCATTAAAAGGGCAGTTATTGGCCAATCTCCAAATCCAATACATACATTTTATGCTTGTGTTCAAAGAAGCTTGCACAAAACAGTAGCTTGTGGCTTTCAAGTGTTTGCCAACTTCACAGATGAAATACACCACCCGAAGCTAACTTAAAACCCAGCCTATCTGCAATTGCTCTGCTCAGTTGGAACCACACGAGAGCAAACTCTTCAGGGAACCTGTGTCCTGCTGAACAATGAAGTCAGTTAAACTAGTCACAGAGGTCTTCAGAAACATCTTCCCAATAAATCAGAACACGAGCACAGACCCCATGTGTTCTTTGCTGCACAGCATATATAACCTAGGGCTGGCAAGGGAATTTTCTGTAAAATCTGCTTTTACAGAAGGCAAAGAAAATTGGCAGGGCAAAAGAAAGGGCAGAAAGAAGGCCAGAGAAAGAAAAAAGAAAAGAGACTGGCTCCTCTCCACCTACAGATGGACAAGTGCTTGATGGGCAGCTAGGGCAGTATTGAGAACCAGCAATCTCAGGAGTAAAGGTCTATCATACCTGTACTTTGCAGAAGCACAGCCCAAAAGGGGAAGAGAAAAGTAGCCCCTGCCTAAAAGAGGTTGTCATACCAGTGATGGAAGAAGGTGGCCTAGTTTTCATAATTCCTCAGGTCATCTGGGAAGAAGTCCTACTAGAAATCTATGGTTCTAAAGCACAGCAATGTTAATTATCATGAAGCATTTAATCAGAGTATAAGACCACACAAACCAACAGTATTAAAAAAAATCACTAGTATCTCAGGACTGATTTATTTGAAATTTGGGATTGAAAAACTGATATTTGGGGAAACTTACAAATAAACACCTGAATCACTGGCATATGCACATATGTGCTCTCTCTCGCTCTCTCTCTCTCTCTCTCTCACACACACACACACACACACACACACACACACACAAGCATACACACGATAAACATAAAGTAAATGACTTCCAGGTTCCCAGAGGTCTACTGCTACACTCACACGTGGACTGTAATGTAAACTAGAATGGGCACTCAAAGACTTGCCTAGTACAACTACAACTGCTCAGTTGGTCTCTATCCACAAAGATATCCATTCCCAACAGAAAACCTAAAATGTTACCTTATATTTAATTTGACCAGTCTGGGAAGAAATGCATTTGAATGCAGCATGAAGCCTTTGCTATACTCTCAGTTACTAAGATATAAAAATAAGAGAGGTAGAAAAGCAGAACTTTAGAGTTGAAGGGGCTTTAGAAAACATGCCACATGGTCCAATATCCCCTTTTTCATTTTTGTAGGAGTTTGCAATGGTAGAAATTCACTGCTTCCTGGAGTCTATGCAATCACTAAAAATTATTGTTGCTTTTTTGTTGTTATTGAGCAAACTCATATGTGCTAATTCTGTCCTGTGAGCTACACCAGACCAAGTATAACTCCTCTTTCATATACCTGAAAGGCTGAAATATACAGACATCTATCATGTTCTTCCCCCAAAGCTTAGCTTCTGCTAACTACTTTCTCGGTTCTTCAACTTTTAGTTAACAGCATGCTTCAGAATCTAAAAACACCTTATAAGTATGACCCTCTAGGAGCTGAGAGCACAATACTGAACTGACTTTAATGCAGCCTAAAATGAAGTACCCAGAAGCTTTATTATTGCTTATCACTGAGCTTCTAGTCAACCTAAGCAATTTCCACACAGAGGGGAAAAAGTTGCATATTTTGCCTCCAAGTTTGTGCAACTGCCACTTGGAGCCGAGGGAGACAGGACATCCCACAATTCTCATTTGCAACACAAAGTTGATTTCTCATTCCATTTTTTAACTCAACAGAATCAGAAATCAAATGTGTTATGCAGAGTTATGGGAGTCAGAGTTAAATAAGCATGAACTTTTCCTCTGCCCATGCTAACCATGCAAGCAGGAGAGGGATCCTGTGAGTTCCTGTCTTTTCACTAATGGAATGAAGGAAATGAGAACTGCCCACCTCATAAAATAGTTATGATATATTAATGTGAAACCATTACATTAACCAACAAGTGTGAATTAAGTGTTATCTCCTATTCCGTCTAGCACAGGGTTATCTGCAAAACCTCAGTTGCTGGGGAGAAAAAATGAACATGTGAAAATTGCATGTCATCTGACATAGGGTTCCCAAACTGTATGTGTAGGTACCCGGGAGGTGTTGCACAGGATGTTTTAAATATTTGAAGGAAATATACCAATATCTCTCAGGTAATAGAGCTGGAAGTATCTCCGCACAGTTTCAACATTAGATCATACTATATTCCTTTTCATGATATATTTTTGTGAAACTGAGTTTTTATGGTTGTAATGACAGCAAATATGCTGTGAAAATCAATGTGGACTAGGAAATGAAGGAGGTGGTAGCTGCTGTCACCCTAAGATGGAGAAGCTATGTAGTGCTCAGTGGGCCCACCACCATGTACCACTGGAAAGTGATTATGATTATTTAAGGATGGAGGAAATAAAGATTATTTCTTCCAATGCATGTGCAATAGTGTTTGAAACACCTGCTAAGTTATTCAGTCATAAGTACTTCTTAAATTATTTGACCTTACCTATTTAACAGTCAGACATGGTTTGATTTTTTTTCCTTTGGCCTAGGGACTTGCAAAGGGATCATTAAGGATGTTGCACATCCAAAGAGTCTGGGAGCCTCTGCATGAATCACTTCTCTCCATGATTACATTCATCACCCTAAGTATGATCATTTCCCTGTGGGGTGAAACCTTGTCTGATGAGGCCATCATGTAATCTTGAACTGTATTTCTGCATCCATGAAGATAAGGCAAGAGGACAAGGAACAGAAACTGAAGCATCCCTGGGCAGGCCTGAGGCTACCACTCCTCAAGACTGTGTGTTATCCAAGTCATCAAACAGGCTGGACTTTTTGTCAGTAAATCTGAGGTGGTGTGGAGAGAAAGGGAGCCATGGCAGAAGAAAGCTTGGTCACTTCACACTGTGCGAGGATGGAAGAATCATGGTGGTTTGGATGTGAGATGTCCCTGAAAAACTTACATGTGAGACAATGCAAGGAGATTCAGAAGAGAAATGATTGGGTTGTAGGAGTCTTAACCCAACCAGTGATTTAATCCCCTGATTAACTGAGTGGTAACTGAAGTGGTAGGGTATGGCTGGAGAAGGTGGGAATTGGGGCGTGGCTTTGGGTATATATTTGTAACTGATGAACGGAGACCTCTCTCTGCTTCCTGAAATGATGTGAGCTGCTTCCCTCTGCCACACTCTCCTGCCATGATGCTCTTTGTTGCCTCAAGCCCTGAGGAATGGAGCTGGCCTTCTATGGACTAAGACCTCTGAAACTGTGAGCCCATTAAATAAACTTTTCCTCCTCTACAGTTGTTCTGGTTGGGTCTTTAAGTCACAGCAGTGAAACAGCTGATTAAAACGGTGGAAGAATAGGGAAGTGGCTAAACAGATCAATAGTATTATTTGAGGTTAAAGTTGTAGGTTTTCTATTAGGAGATGCTACAGTTTGGGTCTTAAGTGTTGCCTAAAAGCCTATGTGTTAAAGGTTTACTCTCCAGCTTGGAGTTATTAGGAAGTGGTGAAGTCTTTAAGTGGGGGTATTTAGAACACTGGGGTATGAGCCCTCATAAGTAAACAGGGACCCCAGACCCTTCTCTTTCTTTTTTTCATTTCCTGGTCCTGAGGTGAACAGCTTTGGTCAGCCACATTCTAGCTATTATGATATGTTGCCTTGCCATAAACTCAAAACAATGGATCTAAATGACCAAGGACTTGGATCTCCAAACTTATGAGCCAAAATAAACCCTATTTCCTTATAAGTTGATTATCTTAGACAATTTGTTACAGTAACAGAAAGCTGATTAACACAGAGAATTTAGAGATAAGCTAACCAACTGGAGATGAGCTGCAAGACAAGTAAACTCACTTAGGCTTGCTCTCTGGGATTTGGACCTCAAATCAGTCAGTCAAGTCATGCTTTCCATCCTTACAATATGAATATCCAACAGCTGCCTTTTTTCCAAACAGCAAAGGGTATATAACGCGAGTCATATCCCAGCATTTTAGGACCATGAAATTCTCATCAAGGATTTATTATGCCCTCAGCTGAAATGCCTTGAGAAAACATAATTCTAGCACACACTAGGGGTTCAAAACAGATGTCAAACAGGTAATTTCTACAGAACTGAACAGGCACTATTACACTTCAGCCATATGCAGTATTTTAGTATGCCAAGTTGCCACGAAGCACAAGCCAGCTCTTTTTTTTAATCTTAATTTGTGACCTGGAATCACAAGCCACACTTAATAAGCTTTCCCAGGGTATGATACATTCATCCCATAAAATAAGAACTCCAGACCACTTCTGAGCTGAGCAAGGTGCTTAGGGTATTTTATAACCTACTTTTGTACATTATGAATAAAAACATATACTCAAAGAATTCAATCAACTGGAGAGATGTCTACCACTTTTTTTGGCTAACACAATAGATTCTAAAATAAGAAGTTTCCCTTTTGAGATTTTTTTTTTTAATCAATATCCTAGAGTATCTCATTTTACGGGATTTATATTCTTGAAATTTTAAAACTAGCTTTCTAAAATTATTTCAAATGTAGCACTTAAATTAAACCATGGGCAACTGCTTTTGTAGAATTAATGGTCATTCATTAATTTAATCTGACCTATAAAAACCTTGGTCTCAGAGTGAGTTTCCCAATTCTGATCTTATAATATAGTTTGAGCAAGCTTAAGTAAATTCCTTTCTTTCTCAAAGCCCAGCTGCCCAGTTTGCCAAAGAGAGACTGGACCTAGATTTTATGTATTTGTATACTGAGGTCACCTGAGCCAGAGGAATGTCAAGAAACTCTACCCAGAAACATCCCAAAGAAGGTCAGCCAGACCCCAAATA